CACTGAAATGTAACAACCATATATATCAACATAGATGAACTGAGTTCTAATAAATCCAACACAATATAATTTTTTCCCTCTGGGAATGTATTTCTAACATACACAGTCCCTAAATTCATTAAATGATCACACATACTCTGTTCTAAATGCTCATTTGTAAAACAGATTCTTATAAGATATAAAGGGTTCATTCTCATCCGCTTCTCAATGGAAAATGAAGCAATAAAGAAGTTAGAATGGGAGGAATATATCTGGATTCTACCAGATCTAGCATCACAGTTATTGCAGACTGAGATAATGTCTACATGCAGGTAAGCATGTACAGAAGAATATGGAGTGTGAGGGAAAGGGTTCATCTCTTATGCCTGTCTAAAATCTACTTTAATAATTCTGAAAAATACCAACATTTAATTTCTCCCTCACAGATAGAGAACTTTGATAAAATCAATACTGAATGTTTATTCTGCCCACTGTTTATTCATATCTCTAGAGTGTCATGTTAACCTGCCTCTAAATTGTCAATATCACGCCAGCTACAGATACTGAACTTTGGATTCCTGCAAACCATAGTACTTTTATATAATAACAACTATTAGAATGAGATCATGTTATAAAATATGCTTAGCTAATGATGTTCTGATTGGTTGAATTGGTATTGGTTGTAATAATCTGATTGGATGGAGGGACATCCTCCCTCCATAACTGTCTGTATTTAATTCCTTCTTTTGCTGCCAATAAATGAGCACACTTAGAGCCAACCTGCTTCTGTGGTCTTCATTGTGTGCTCCCAGAATTCTGACATGGTCTCCCAGATCATCCGAGGGGCCAAATTAACCCCTTCCTAACATGGAGGATGTGAGTGAAGGCAGTATGTGCAGTGTACAAACAAGTGGCAACCACCCCAAACTATAACTAGCCTTTGCAGTAAGATGCACATGGAAAGGCAACGCACATCACAGACAAAAATTGCCCAGCACACTTACCAGCAGTCTGCAAAAAAAAATTGACCCTGTCTATTCATGTTAAAAACAGAGGGTTTAGTGTGCACACATTTGCAAGCATATGTGTAAGCCATGGTGCCTACGTCAAGGCTCCTCTGTATACTGTGGTCCTAACTCAATAGTTTTGAGAGTCTCCAAGTTGGAGCACATATAGCAATGGATAGATTAAAGGTTTAGCATGGAGGGAGCTAGGAAGAGCACAATGGCAGCTGAAGGCATATAATGTGTCCCTGCATTGAATTCAACCAACTGCACAAACAAGTGGCAAACACCCCAATCTATAACTAGCTTTTGCAGTAAGGTGCACATGGAAGGACAATGCATGTCACAAAAAACCCCAGAAATTTCCCAGCACATTTACCAGCTAGCCTGCAAAAAACACTTGTGGCTTACACATATATCTGCAAATGTGTGCAAACTAAACCCTCTGTTTTTAACATGATTTGTTATGGCCAATTTGTTTGTTTGCATGTTTAAAGCAAAATCTACTCTTGCCCGTGTTCATACTTTATGCACATACTGGTCAACAACTGACCTATAATCCTTCTCCAAGTGTTGTGATGAGCAACATTTGTAATACTAAAGGTTTGATACTTTTGTTCAAAGGTCTAGAATCCTAGAGGAAATAGGTTAAAGAAAATATAAAAAAAAGAAAAAGGAAAAGCTTCTGTGCTGACCTCAGCCTTTCAGTTGCCTATTATGTGCAAGAAAACTTGGAAGGATGTGTAGTTTTAAAAGTCACTTTTCTTTCCTCCTTTTTCCATAAACCAGCGCCATGGTTCTCAAACACAACACGTAAGGTATGCATGCTTTTAATTAAACCAAATAGAACACCTGCAATAAAAAAAAAAAACCAGAACAAAACAAAAAAACAAGAAGATCGATACAGCTTTAAAACAAAATATGTACTTGTCTTTGTTAATTAAAACTGCATAGCCTTGGGCCCTGGCTGAATTGTCTAAGTCCATGCACAGGATCTGCACTCAGCAGATGTTCTTTTACTTTACCAGCTGTTGTAACCACATCAAAGCTGTAGTATGAACAGAAAAATAAAAACCCTTCCATATTAATTATCAATAGTTCCAGCCCAATGCTCTGAAATGATGCACACTGCTATGGGGTTTTAGGAAACTGAATAACAAATTTGCCAATATAAACAGTACAGTATACTCTCGGAAATGTAGGGTGCAATAAATCAAAACAGACAGTTCCCCAGTTTACAACAAATGACACATCTGCAATTACCAATAACTTAGTCCAGCCAAAACTTTTTAATGTAGTGGAGTAAAGAATTGATCCTCAGGGTGTTATTGCTCTGCGTGGCCCTCTTCGGAAAGACGAGCTGTCTCTGGAAAGTGAAGTGGGTAAAACTGATCTGGTGATACAGTACCAGTTTATAAGAAATTTAGTGATATTTACATAACTTGTTTCTATTTCCCCCAGCTTGAGATAGTGGCCATAAACTGCACTCAGGAAATGCATTCTGCCTTAGAACATACAGTATATGTCACAAGCAGCTTTACTGTGACCTGCATCATAGAAAATAAGCAAAAACGCCCAAAATCAAAGTCTGACAACATGATGTATGCAAATGTGTCCCACCAGCCAGGATCGAGATACATTTTTTAACTTTCACCTTGTGCCACTAAAAAATGCAATAATTTGACAGGTTTTAATAAGTTACATAATATCCTGTGAATAAGCCATGTAATATTTATCTACTAAACAGTTCTGGTTACATACTTGCCAGGAACAATAAAGAAAAATAAAAAAAAAAGGAGGCTGAAATGTCAACTGGATATAAAGGAAAAACTGCTGAAGATGTACACAGGAAAATGGAAAAAAGATGTGCCTGGAGAGACATGAGTAGATAAAGAAGGCATTGTCAGAGTCATTCTAATAACAAAGTTCAACATTTATTTATGAAAAGAATGACCTAATCTTAAACACGTTAACTCACATGATTACCTCCTTCTGGTTTCAAAAAACAATCTAACTTTAAAATGTATAGTATGCATGTTTAACCACTTGCCGCCCTGCCACTGTAGAAATACGGCGGCAGGCAGGCAAAACCACGTTTTTAAAACGCGTGTTTTGTAAACAGATAGAGGGTGCGCGTGAGGCGCACCGCCACCCTATCTGTCCCACCAATCACCACAGCGGATGTCAGTCGCCGGGTCACAGCCGGTCTTTACCGGCTGTTTCCCGGCGATCGGCGGCAAACAGTGACAGAGAGCACAGCTGCAGTAGCTGTGCTGTCTGTCACTTCCCTGACAGCTCGAGGACGAGCTGATCGAGAAAGAAGAGTTTCTCTCTCTCGATCAGCCTTGTCCCGTCCAGCACACACCCCCGCCCCCTAGTAAAACACTCCCCCTCGCTCAGATAACCCTTCCCTGCAAAATAAAGTTAACCCCTTCCTCCCCAGTGCCATTAGTACAGTGTCAGTGTTTTTTTTTTGCACTGATCACTGTATTAGTGTTTTTGGGGATGTCAGTGACCCCAGGTCAGTACCCCCCAATGTCAGAATGTCCGCCGCAGTCCCGCCATAAGTCGCTGGTCGCTGCCATAAGTCACTGATCGCCGCCATTTTGCTGATCGCCGCCATTATTAGTATAAAAAAAAAAACTAAAAATCACAGTATCTTTCCCGCCATTTGTAAACGCTATAACTTTCATGTAAACCAATTAATTTACACGTATTGGGTTTTTTTTTTTTTTTAGCAAAGACATGTCGCAGAATGCATTTTGGCAGAAATTTATGACAATTTGATTTTTGCATTTTTTTTTACTGGACATGTTTTATAGCAAAAAGGCCAAAATTTTTTTTTTTCCCTCAAAATTGTCAGCCTTTTTTTTTTATAGTACAAAAAATAAAAACCGCACAGGCAATCAAATACCACCAAAAGAAAGCTCAATTTGTGGGGAAAAAAAAAGGATGTACCGTATTGCATGACCGCGCATTGTCCGTTAAACTAGCGCAGCGCTGTATAGCAGAAAAATGGCGTAAATTGCAGTATTTATACCATAGTTTGTAGACACTATAACTTCCACACAAAGCAATCAATATACACTCATTGGGATTTTTTTACCAAAAACATGGAGCAGAATACATTTTGGCCTAAATTTATAACCAACTTTGAGTTTACTATATATTTTTTATAGCTGAAAGTAAAAAATATTGTTTTTCTTCAAAAGTTTTGGCTTTTTTTTTTTTCATTTATAGCGTGAAAAATAAAAAGCGCACAGGTGATCAAATTACACCGAAAGAAAGCTCTATTTGTGTGAAAAAAAGGACGTAAATTTCGTATGGGTGCAGCATTGCATGACCGCGCAATTATCAGTTGAATTAGTGCAGCGCCAAGTAGCAAAAAGAGGCCTGGTCATTAAGGGGGGTAAATCCTCTGGAGGTCAAGTGGTTAAAATTAAAGGCTGAAGATAAAAACACTTAAAATCAATGGTAGATTCTTTATTAATAAGTGTCCGAGACAAGTTCTGTCTCAATTTGTACCATTGAGAAAATCTATCTCAGACACTTTTTAGTAATTCGCCCCTTTTTTGTCTACAGTCTACTATAGATGCTATATTTAGGACAGGGCTTGACAAATCCCAGGTGCCAGGTCACCATGGTGACTAGAAATTGGGTCCTGGTGCCTGGGTTCGCACACTGCCTTCCACTGACTTTAACCACTTGCTAACTGCACTATAGCTGAATGACGGCTACAGCGCGGTTGTCCAGTTCTGGGAGGACGTGCCTGCTCGCACCACAGCGATCTCTGTGATTGCTGTGTCCTACGAACACAGCTGATCACATGATGAGGTAAAAGGCCAATCACAGCTGCCTTTTACCACGTGATCAGCTGTGTCCAATGACACAGCAGATCACGGAGTAAATACAGTCGCCGGTTATCGGCAGCACTTTCCTCATGCTGCCATTGCATGAGGAAAGTACTGCCGATAACCAGCAGCTGTCACAGAGCAGATTGGCACTGATGATTGGCAGTGCCGCTCAGCAGTGCCATCAGTGACCCCAATCACTGCTGCATATCAGTGCAGCATCATCAGTGCCTCCTCATCAATGCCCACCAGTTGCGCCTCATCAGTGCCACTTCATCAGTGCATCCTATCAGTGCCACCTATCCGTACCACCTCATCAGTGCCACCTATCAGTGCCACCTCATCAACGCACATCAGTGACGGAGAAAAATTACCTGTTTGCAAAATTTTATAACAGAAACAAAAAACTTTTTTATTTCAAATTTCTTCCTTTTTTTGTTTATAGTGCAAAAAATAAAAACCCCAGTGGTGATTAAATACCACCAAAAGAAATCTATATTTGTGTGAAAAAAATTGTAAAAATATAATTTGGGTACAAAGTTGCATGACAGCGCAATTGTTATTCAAAGTGCCACAGCGCTGAAAGCTGAAAATTGGCCTGGTCACAAAGGGGGTAAAAGTGCCCGGTAGGCAAGTGGTTAATACAAAACCATGTCCCATTAACTTCAATGCAAAAATGCCCACTATTGACTTCAATACAAAATCGCTTCTCAATTACTTGAATGCAATATCACGTCCCATCAACTTCAATGCAAAATCGCATCCCATTGACTTCAATGCAAAAACACTTCTCATTGGCTTCAATGCAAAAACGCCTCCCATTGACTTCAATGCAAAAACGCCTCCCATTGACTTCAATGCAAAAACTCTGCCAATAGCAATCCTATGTGAACACATATCTCCGCATGCTACTCTACCATTTGCAAGTCTGGAACGCACCTCTACAAACTCGCACAGGACCCTTTTCGTAATGGCATCCAAAATACAATGAATGTAGACTGCATCTGTGTGAACCACCTCAATAGGAACACATAATATCTAGTCTGTTACGTGAATCTGTGAGTTTGAAAACGCATCCAGAATCTCATAGGCGTGAACCGGGATGGCTCCATTCACACTTGGGCATTATGGAATTGTGGGCGGCATCGCTGTGATCACAAAACACAGGTTCAGGTGCTATTATTTTCAATAGAATTTATAACATGGTGTGGCTTCGCCGTGATTGTTGTGCAGAAAATCGCATTACGTGAAGCTTGTCACCAAAAATTTGCCTTGCCCCAGGTGCTGATAACCCACGCTATGCTAACAAAAAAAAAAAAATCAAAAATCTGCCTCCTAACTTTAGTTTGCTCCTAGACTCAAAGAAAATTTGTCAAGCCCTAACACAAACTGTATTATAAACAAAAAAAAAATACACACAAAATCAAGGCTGACAATTATTACACATTCCTCATGCAAGAGGATAAAGTTCTACACACTCTGTTCCATCAAACGTCATAATGCTAACAGATCTTCTTGTGGAAAAGCCAATGTATTTCAAAGCATTCTTATACAGGGAGTAGAGAGAACATAAAGAGTACCAATTTTTAGATTTAGTCAGCCACACACTAAAAACACTGTGTACTCTCCATGATCTGCCCCCACCCATTTAGAGGCAGCAGGAATGCGCACAAAGGGTAAACTCAGAGGATCCCCTTTAAGAGGATTTTGCAGGCTGATACAGATCTTATTTCCAAAGGTCCATAATCCCAAGAGTATACTGAATTTCAATTTTCCAAACAAAACGTTGGAGCCCTTTAAGATAATTTAGCAAGATATTACAACTTCTAATAGTCCAGGGTACAAAACGGATGTAATAAAAACCCAAATTCTAGCAAAAAATAGAAATCCTTCTCCACAAACATCACTCTGCAATTCTTCTGTGATGCTCTTTGCAAATTGTTTTCTAAATTTAGTACAATAAAAAGTGAAGGTTTTTTATAATACACAGTTTGTGTCAGAAATGTTTCTATACACTGGTGCCTACAAGGTCCCACCACAAAAAAGTACGTTGTAAATATTATTAATTGGGATGTTGGCACATGTTCCTCCATGTTTTTGATACTGCTGTAAATGCTGGCACGTGTCACATAAATGTTTGCTTTCACGTAGGCTGGCCATACACTATCCAATTTTCCTGTCCAATTTCCTTTAGATTTACCTTCAACTATGTAGTGCAAGGGCCCACCTAAATGGATACAATTGAAAGTGTTGTTTAGGTTTGACCTCATATTATATGGTTTTTGGTAAATCTAAAGCAAAATTCTCAAGAAAATTGTTAATCTATGGCCAGCCTAAGGTACTAGATTAACCATCTCCCGCCCGCCATATAGTAATATGACAGGCGCAAGGTGGTTCTCTCGTTCTGGGACGACGGACGTCCTCCCATTCTCACTGCACATGCGCGGCTCAGGGAGCGCGCAGCGTGGCGATCGACGGTGCGCTGTGTCCCTCGGACACAGCGGATCACTGATCACGTAAAGAGTCAAAGATGTCGGCTTGGTCATGTGATCAGCTATGTCCAATCACAGCTGATCACATGTAAACAGGGAAATGCCAGTTATCGGCATTTCTCTCCTCTCGAGCTGTCACGCTGACAGCTCGAGAGGAGAGGAGAGCTGGTAATCGGCTTTCTGCGGAGGGGACATGTACACTGATCATCAGGGCACTGATGATCAGTGTAGCCCCAGCAGTGCCACCTGTCAGTGTCCGTCAGTGCACATCAATGCCACATATCAGTGCCCATCTGAGCTGCCTTTCAGTGTCACCCATCAGTGCCAGTCAGTGCCACCTATCAATGCCAATCAGTGCCACCTATCAGTGCTGCCAGTCAGTGCCACCTATCAGTGCCAGTCAGTGCCGCCTATCAGTGCCATATATCAGTGCTGCCCTTCAGTGCCTATCAGTGATGCCTGTCAATGCCCATCAGTGCCACCTACCAGTGCCTCCTCACCAGTGCCACCTATCAGTGTAGCCTATCACTGCAGCCTCATTAGCGCACATGAAGGAGAAAAATCACTTATTTACAAAATTTTATAACACAAACTAAGAAAAGATTTTTTTTTTAAATTTTCAGTGGTTTTGGTTTGTTTAAGAAAAAATAAAAAACCCAGAGGTGATTAAATACCACCAAAATAAAGCTCTATCTGTCACATAAAAATGATAAAAATTTCATATGGGTACAGTGTTGTTTGACTGCGCAATTGTCATTCAAAGTGTGACAGCGTTGAAAGCTGGAAATTGGCCTGGGCAGGAAGGGGGTATAAGTGCCCTGTAGGCTAGCAGTTAAAGGTTTCAATAAGGGCATGTGTCAGATATCTACATAAAACAAGTAATAGCATACACAGATACAGTGTGTGCAGGTGGCTTGTGGAATTCAGTGCTTGCCCACATTCTCTTACCAGAAGATATGTAAAAAAAAAAGCCCTGCCATCAGGGTAAAAACATGCTCTAGAATGGGAAGTTATATAAATATGTCTGAGTACCAAAGACTGAAGGACAAATTACAACTTGCAGATAAGCACTTAAAGCATATTTAACCACTTCAATACCGGGCACTTTAACCCCCTTCCTGCCCAGGCCAATTTTCAGCTTTCAGTGTTGTCTCACTTTGAATGACAGTTGTGCGGTCATGCAACACTGTACTCAAAAAAACATTTTTTTTCCCACAAATAGAGCTTTCTTTTGGTGGTATTTAATCACCACTGAGTTTTTATTTTTTGCTAAATAAAAAAAATCCAAACCTTTTGAAAAAAACCCGCTTTTTTCTTGGTTTCTGTTATAACATTTTGCAAATAAATAACATTTCTTCCTAAATTTAGGTCAAAATGTATTCTGCTACATTTCTATGGTGAAAATACCCTAAATTAGTGTATATTATTTAGTTTGTAAGAAAGTTATAAAGTCCACAAACCATGGTATATATATATATATATATATATATATATATATATATATATATATATATATATATATATATATATATATATATACACACACCGTATTTTCCGGCGTATAAGACGACTTTTCAACCCATGAAAATCTTCTGAAAAGTCGGGGGTCGTCTTATACGCCGGTATACGGCGAGCCGGTGTCAGGGCGGCACTTTTTCGAGGGGCAGGGGTGGGCAGAGGGGCTGCTGTACCTTACCTGGCTCCGGTCCCGGTCCCACGACGATCCGGTCCAGGAAGCGCAGCTGCTCCTTCTTTCAGTTCGGCCGCTCGATGGTCGTGCAGCCGCTCGGCTCCGCCTCCTCACCGGTGATTGGGCGCCAGCACTGGAAAGGCACACAGGCAACCAATCACTGGCGAGGAGGCGGAGCCGAGCGGCCTCGCGAAAATCGAGCGGCCGAACTGAAAGAAGGAGCAGCCGCTCCTCTCCCCCACTGACACCAATGATGATGTACTATTCCTCCCACTGACTAATGATGGGACACTATTCCTCACACACTGACACTAATGATGGGGCACCATCATTGGTGTCAGTGGGAGGAATAGTGTCCCATCATTGGTATCGGTGGGAGGAATAGTACATCATCATTGGTGTCAGTGGGAGGAATAGTGCCCCATCATTGGTATCAGTGGGAGGAATAGTGTCCCATCATTGGTATCAGTGGGAGGAATAGTGCCCCATCATTGGTATCAGTGGGAGGAATAGTGCCCCATCATTGGTGTCAGTGGGAGGAATAGTGCCCCATCATTAGTCAGTGGGAGGAAAAGTGTCCCATCATTGGTGACAGTGGATAAAATAGTGCCCCATCATTGGTGTCAGTGGGAGGAGTAGTGCCCCATCATTGGTGTCAGTGGATAAAATAGTGCCCCATCATTGGTATCAGTGGATAAAATAGTGCCCCATCATTGGTATCAGTGGATAAAATAGTGCCCCATCATTGATATCAGTGGGAGGAATAGTGCCCCATCATTGGTATCAGTGGGAGGAATAGTGCCCCATCATTGGTATCAGTGGGAGGAATAGCGCCCCATCATTGGTATCAGTGGGAGGAATAGCGCCCCATCATTGGTATTAGTGGGAGGAATAGTGCCCCATCATTGGTATCAGTGGGAGGAATAGTGCCCCATCATTGGTATCAGTGGAGGAATAGTGCCCCATCATTGGTGTCAGTGGGAGGAATAGCACCCCATCATTGGAATACCATACTGAAATAGCATACCATATTGAAATCAAATCTGATGTTTTTTCATTTTTGGTGTGCGTTGGAAGAGGGGTAGTCTTCTACGGCGAGTATAGCTCAAACCCTATATTTTAACAGGAAAAGTAGGGGGTCGTCTTATACGCCCAGTCGTCTTATACGCTGGAAAATACGGTATATCTATCTATCTGACAATCAATCCTGATGTACTGACAGCCCATCTCATTTCTTGAGGCCCGAAAATTCCAGGATAGTACAAATTTTTGGAAAATAGATAGTCCAAGGTATTTAGTAAGAGGCATGGTGAGTTTTTGGGAGGTTGTAATTTTTTGTTACAATTTTTGAGAAAATGTAGGAAAAAAAATATAATCACAATTTGTTTTCTTAGCATACTGTCACCAGTCCAGTACAGCGTTGTTATATAACTGGTGTGGTGGTGATCAGGGACACTGACTGGTGACAGTATGTAACAAAAATAATTAAATTTTTTTTTTTTTTTCAAATTTTTCTATTACATTATTATTTATTTTTTTCAACACATTGTGACTAAAGCAATACGTTATCATAGTAACACTGAAGTACTCTGGGGAAGTGATCAGAATTTGTTTCATTTTTTACACATTATGGTTGCTAATAGCAATGTATTTCATTGATATTTGCAATCATTGTTACTGAATGAAACTGATTAATTCAGTCTTTTGTTGTGCTTGGCTGTGATTGGGCAAAGCTCATCACATGATACAGATGGGCTGTGGACACAGCCGGTGACAGATTGCGCCACTGTGTGAGTGGCTCCTTTTGAGGTCATATGACGCCCAGTCACAAGGAGGAGTGTCCCGCCGGGCTATAGCAGATTGATGGCCGGGTGGGACACTTAAAGATTCCCTCAGATTGAGGGAAATGAGAGGAGAATCATTGCATGCACATATAACAATCATTCTCAAAGAAGGGAAAGATAGCTCACAATGTAATAGCTATAGACCCAGTTCATTATTAAATACGGATACCAAATTGTTTGCGAAAGTATTGGCTACAAGGTTGAAGGAGTTCATGCTGGAATGGGTACATTTAGATCAGGTAGGTTTTGTTCCAAGAAGGGAAAGAAGAGACAACGGCTTGAGGACGTTACACCTTCTACAGAAAGCAAAGAGAGGTAGGCAGTCAACAATAATTTTGTCAATAGACGCAGAAAAAGCCTTCAACAGGGTAGATTGAGGGTTTATGTTTAACACATTGGATGCCCTGGGAATAGGGAAAAAGATGTTGAAGTGGATAAAAGGGTTTTATAATGGTCCCTCAGCAGCAGTGAAGGTTAACGGAACCTTGTCTGGGACTCTGGGACTTTTGGAATGCATAATGGAACCAGACAAGGTTGCCCATTATCCCAGTTATTGTTTGCGCTGCCCTTGGAACCTCTTTTGGCGGCGGTAAGAAAGAACATTGATATTACAGGAATTAAGATAAGAGGAGTAGAACATAAGGTAGCTGCTTATGCAGACGACATGTTGTTTTATATAGTGAACCCTAGAGTGGCGTTGCCTAATCTAATGACACTGTCGAAACAGTATGGAGAATTATCTAATTTAAAAATAAATCTTACAAAATCTGAGATCTTGAATATAAATGTGTCGAAGGTAGAAAGGAAGAACTTACAAGAACAGTTCCCATTTACATGGAAGGACAGAGACTTAAAGTATTTAGGAATAAAACTAAAACCTTCAGTAAAGGACGTATATCAGGCTAATTATATTCCATTAATTAAATTAAAGAGGAATTGAGAAGACTTTCAGGAGGGTGGGCTTCATGGATTGGGTGGATAAATTTGGTTAAGATGGTAATAGTCCCAAAAATCCTGTATAGGTTTCAGATGCTCCCTATAAAACTACCAGGATCCTTTTTTAGAATAATAAAAAAGTTGATATTGAGGTTTATTTGGGCTAATAAGAAACCAAGAATTAAGTAAGAAACCTTCTGTTATCAGAAAGAGAACAGAGGACTAAACTTGCCAAATATGAGGAAATATTATTTATCGGTGTTATTATCAAGGGTGGTGGATTGGACCTATAATTCACAGGAAAAAAGTTGGGTTAAAATTTAAGGCATATTAAGTAAAACACAGTGGAGAGGATTATATGGATTCCACAAGAATTTTGGGCATTAGATAAAAATAGTAGTACACTGACAAGGGATGTATTGAGAGTTTGGGATGGTTTACACAAGGTTATGGGTTGGAAATATAATTCATTACTGATACCATTGGTGGACACTGAATTTTTTCTTTCTGGGAAGGGAAATGTTTTGGGAAAATGTTTTAAAGATAGAAATGCATGTTTGGGAGATATATTAGACAAAGGACAGTTATACACTTTTCAAGAATTGAAGAATAAAAGGGAATTCGTTTTTTTGTTTTAGATAAACTGAGATATTACCAATTGGGACATTTTGTCTCAACACTTCCTCAGCCTCTGAGGATAACGGGGGACATGCTCCCATTTGAAAGACTGCTGAGCTCCAAGACAAGTTGTGGACATATAACATCTAGGATTTATAAGATCCTAGTTGAAATTGGAGGGAGCTGGTTCACCGTCGTTCTTGGAGGGTTGGGAAAAGAGAATTGGGTTATAAAAAATATGATCACCAGAAGAGGAAAATGTTTAAGTTAATGCACGGGGTGACAAACACGAATATAGTTGAGATGAATTATAAATGTTTGTCTAGATGGCATTGTACACCATGTGTGGCACATAAACAGAGAGAAGTATCACCTTTATGTTGGAGAGGATGTGGGGCAATAGGGACAATGGCTCATATATGGGGGGAATGCCCAAAAATTCAGTTATATTGGCAGGAGATAATTTATCATATACAGGCGATTTGGGGGACATTTATCCAGAAGGATCCATGGGTACGTCTTTTCTATAGAACAGAGTTGTCAGTAAAACAATATAAAAACAGTTTATTATATCATCTGACTGGTGCAGCAAAGGGTTTAATTCCTAGGTTTTGGAAGGCCCAGGATCCAACAATGAGGGATTGGATAGACAGATTAGAATATGTTAGTAGAATGGAGGAACTTTGTTACATAGAGAAAGATGAAATGGAAAAGTTTACAAAGATTTGGGGTAAATTGTATGAGTTTAGAACTTTAGAAAAATACTTAAAAATTAAAGGTCCCCTGATAGTAGTACCAGAGAATTTAAATGGTTAAAGAGATGTATACATATGACTAGATTAGTAGGAGGGGAAAGAGAGGATAAAATGAGATTGTACAGGGTGGTGTGTTGGGGTGGGGTATGGGGATAAAGTGTTTACAGTGAAAGAAATAAGTATTTGATCCCTTGCTATTGCTATTCTGTCTCTCAGTGTTACAATACACCTACCATTCGATTTTTAGACTGATCATTTCTTTGGCAAACATTCAAAATCAGCAGGGGATCAAATACTTATTTCTTTCACTGTATATGTATGATGTAAAAAGATTTATGATGGTTTTGTAAGGTATTTTTTTTTCTTAAAAGAAAATTTTATAAATATATAACGGAAAAAAAAGCCCAAAACACTGCAAAAGCAACCCAGGAGCTACTGAAGGAAAAGAAGTGGAATATTCTGCAATGGCCGACCAAATCACCTGATCTCAACCGAACTGAGCATGCATTTCACTTGCTGAAGGCAAAACTAAAGGCAGAAAGACCCACAAATAAAGAACAACTGAAGACAGCTGCAGTTAGAGCCTGGCAAAGCATCAGAAAGGAGGAAAACCCAGTCTTGGTAAGGTCCATGGGTTCCAGACTTCAGGCAGTCATTGCCAGTAAAAGATTCCCAACAAAATATTAAAAATGAACATTTTATTTGTCCAATTACATTTGAGCCCCTGAAAAAGGAGGGACTGTGTATAAAAATAGATGCAATTCCTAAAATTTGTACTTGATATTTATGTTCAACCCCTTGAATTAAAGCTGAAAAGTCTGCACTTCAAATTCATTTGTATTGTTTTGTTTTTAATTTATTCTGGTGGCATACAGAGCCAAAAGTATGAAAATTGTGCCTGTGTCCAAATATATATGGACCTGTGTATGATAAAATTTTTAATGGTTTTTAATCTTTAATTTTGTGTTTTATTGAATGACTTTGCACCGATAGAGCCTCAAACCTGAAGGAGCGTTTTTCTCTCCTTTTTTCCCCTGTGTATGTTTATTGGGGGATGTAGTGCTGTGGTTCCTCTTCTGACTGAGCTGGTGCACGGTATGCTGTTCCTTCAGAGCACATGCACCCGTTATATCACCAGCTGTGTGAAGTGGCCAAGACTCACGCGTGACGTCATCAGCAGCTCGGTCCATGAACCCTGAAGGAAAACCAGGTGAAGATGGAAAGTAAGTGTGTGTGTGTGTGTGTGTGTGTGTGTACATATACACACACAAATATATATGTATATATATGCACACATACATATACATACACACACACATACATATATACACACACATTCTATCTTTTTAGACCATCCACTAGTTTATGCCAACAATAAACAGAAATTGTATCAAATAAATTGTATCTGTGCCATAATAAAATCACCAAGCACAGAATAAAGCAATGTAAAAAGACAAATTAAAATTTATTTTGACATACAAAAAATTAACAGTTTTTGTACAGGTATCTTCAGTAATGCACAGATATGCAGAGACTATGTCTGAGTATAAATACACGTGCTGCCATATTGCTGTATCAGATACAGGTCTAAAAATATCAGCTGAAACACTGAAGTCTTTTCTTTGAAGCAGAATAAACATACGTATCCACAATTGTTTTCCCATCTATTCTAGTTTGGTATAGAAAATGTAAAATGTAAAAATATCAACACATAGAACAGTTGTTCTGTATACAGCTGCATAATTCTTGTCCCAGCCAGGTGAAGATCAGAGAAATGATGGAGAAGAATCAATGGGTAACATTTTCTCTTTGTTTGGAGTCTCATCTTTGTTTGTTTGGGGGCTGTATACTTTGTACCTCTTCCCTGGTTTTCACCAAAACCATAACGGACACCCTGATCACAGCCAAAAGTGTATATATCTTTGTTATAAATTAAATTTTCTAGTATTTGATTTTTGAAAGACTTCTGGCTCAAGGAAACAAAAAATAAATACATGGACACCGTTTGATTCAAGAAAATCAGGGAATATAAATACAAGGTTATCATACTGAATGAGAAGAAACAATGTCTACAACCAGGAAAGAAAGACTTTGGTCCTGGCTATGATCAGCACAAGTGTAATTCCTGTTCATCACCATCCCTTTCAAGTTGTGAAGCAGTCTGGTCTACCATTCTCTGGGTGCAAGTTCCATCAGAAGATAAAAGTTCTTTATACATAAGCACGTGGTCTCCTCACCCTATGCCAATACTGAGCTTTTAGTCCCAAAGTTTGATGAGGCCATCCCATCCACATGTGATAACTTTAGATGTTTCATGTGGGTGCCATACTGCACCTATGCAAACTTTATCATGAGCTTTCAATCTGCTGTACAGTTTAGTGGTCTTCCAATCCCAGATGTTCAGCTTTCCATCAGCATCACCAGAAACCACATAACTAAAAGTAATAAACGGTTAGAGGATTTAAAATGATATTACAGATCCACTCAATTATCTCCTTAAATTTAACAAAACACTGTGTATTTCTAACAGTGCAAAGTGGCTAATTTTACTGATTGATTAGGATTCTTTCACACAGTCATCAACAGTTCAGTCACATTTTTGCTAAGAAAAAAATTATGAATAATGATTCAGGTTACATTGGGTTAAGGCCCCATTCACACCTGCAAATGGGGTCGTTTGTGATTAGATGTGGGAGGACCCAGCAGGGGTTCTGAGGCCAGAAGTCCCAAGGAAAGAAATAGGAGGCTTACAGCTCCCACAGCTTTTTGTGGCTGCTCACATAGAATTGCTGATGGAGCAATTACCTGTGAATGACTGACTCTGGACACAGACTGTCATCCATTTACATTCACAAGTACATCGGAATGAATTGCTGTCCAGATGAAAAAAAAAAGGACAAATGGAAAGTCTGTGTGAAAGCGCCCTTAAAAGACATTATAAGCCTGCCTACTTGTACCTTGCGTTTTTAACCTGCATAAGATGTACAATGATCAGGTAGTTTCATGGTGCCATTTGTTGGCCTGTAAGCACAGCCTATAGTAGAGTAAGTTACCACACTCTTTTGTCAGCAGTTTCTGTTTATGCATGCAGCATGGCACTGCACAGGTCAATACATGACCTAAGTCAAAGAACTGACACATACTGTGAAGAAACTAATATACCACAATCCCCAGGTCTCTTAGTCTAGTGCTGGTTCAGGCGAGAGATCACTACCAAGTGATCTATATTCCAATATAGAGAAAATGGAATTGGGACCATCACTCCACAGCATTCATGGATTCCAGCAAAGTAAACATTGGGCCATGCACATGCAATCATGGTTGCTTAATTAGAGCGTAGCAGGTACAACAGTTAGTGCAGCACCAATTATGCAAGTAGGCAGCAAAGCAGCAAAAGTGGATAACAGTTAATAATAGCAGCGAGGTAAAAACATCAAGTTCCAATCAGTGGTGAAGAGTGGTGTAAGTGAACTGCACCTGATCCCTCCGAGATAGCCGCTGTGTAGGATGGCATTTCGGTATGGGGAAAGGAGGACCATTAACTTCCATGGTATGTCAGGATTATTAGGAGCTCAAAGAGGAAGGCCTCAATGCGAAAACGTGATGAGCTCCTGATGCAACAGGATAACACTAAATCCCAACTCCAATCCAGTGCAGTGAGAGTAATTACTTGCTACGGGGAACAGTGGGAGGAGGTGCGTGCAATCCTATCCAAACATTGGAATATTCTAACTAGGTCCCATGGATACTTGAAATCGTAGGCCCCAGACCTCAGTTGGTAAAAAGGCAAGCAAAAAAACCTTGGGGACGAAGTAGTCCAATCTGAAATTGCATGTGCCCCTCCCAGGAACTAGCTTACTGATTTTCCCCCCTTAAGAGGAATATTCCCAAGTAGACATAATTTATAAACATGTGGACAAAACTGTTCGATTCACTGATGCGGACAATCAGAACATATACTATATCCAATAGTTGATTAACTGTGGAATGGCACAGGTTTAGGTTTTATATATTTTAGAATGCTGTGCAAGAAATTGTATGTTGGAAAACCAAGCGCCAACTGAGTGTCCGCATCGGTAAGCGTCTTGGGAGTAGAAGGAATGTCAGGACAAAATAAGACAAGAGCCCTTTTTCATGATGCAAGACCAGATGGTCTCCAGGTTAAGGGGTTCTATGTACTAAACCTACCAAAACGCAGAAGGGTGTTCCAATACCGTTTTATTAAGGAAGGAAAAGGAATGGATTTTCTGGTTGGGGACACTTGTACCTAAAGGACTCAATACAGAGTTAAGTTTACAGATCTTTTTGGACCCTTGATGTCCTCTATCTAATTTCTTTGGGTCCTCAATTTCTTTTTCTGATTACCTAATTAGTTATTCTATTATTTAATAATATAAATATTTTTATTTCTCCTTGTTGATTTCATAATAGGTCTTGTAAATTGCTGACATTGGTATTATTTTGCACTATACTATCAACAATTTGGCCATTTTCTTAATGTTTGTGGCTAATTATTTGTAAACTATTAGTTATTCTCTCCTCATTATTCACCAGCTTATTATTGATTGTGTATAAAATTGATTGAACTCCTTATTACATGATATATTACATTTTCTTGTTGAAAACAGTTATGCACTCATTCTATTTTATTATAAGTATTCCTTATTCATGATGACAGTTACTTACTGTAATGGTGACCCTTAGTGGACAATCAATTTTAGGACACCTGTAGTCTCTATATAAGTGGGCAAACCCACAGCTGCCGTGTCCTGAACAAGCTCACGTGACCTGGTGAGCGAAACACGTTGATGTTGGTACATCATTACGCCCACGCTCTGTGGTCACTCATGGCAGATCATCTTTCCGCTCCGTGTTAACCACGCTGCTTTAGATGGGCATCAGATTTGGTGGATGTCTCAGTTGCAGAGGAGCTCATGCCTTACAATGCTATATTGCTCTAAGCTGGGCCAGCAACCTTTGAAACAGCAAGGTTAACATTTATGCATCCCGCAGCGGGTGAACTTGGATGCACATGAGAGAGGAGAGAGAGAGAGAGAGAGTGTGTGTGTGTGTGTGTCTGTGTGTGTGTGTGTGTGTGTCTGTGTGTGTGTCTGTGTCTGTGTGTGTCTCCTCACGCGTACAGGAAGTGGTTGGAGAGACAGCCCTCATTTGACACAACGGAAGTTAATGGGCCTCCTTTCCCCATACCCAAACAGCGTTCTGCACAGCAGCTATCTCAGAGGGATCAGGTGCAGTATACTAACTTCACTCTTTGCCGCTGATTGGAACTTGATGTTTTTACCTCGCTGCTATTATTAACGATCATCCACTTTTGCTGTTTTGCTGCCTCACTGCTGCCTACTTGCAAATACTGCTGCACTAACGGTTATACCTGCTACGCTCTAATTAAGCGACGCTGATTGCATGTGCATGGCCCAATGTTTACTTTGCTGGAATCCATGAATGCTGTGGAGTGACAGTCCCAATTCCATTTACTCTATATTGGAATATATTTGGCACATCCTGCTTGGCTGCCCCCGTGAGACACATATGCCCTAAGCTCATATTATCCATTCTTAGCAGGTGTATGCATGGATGAGTGTGCCTGTGAGCCTGGGCTGGTTCTTTTTTTTGTTTTTTTTACATATGACAATGTTCTCTTATGTGTTTTTAATTGTGTATGGTGGTAGTGGTTTTTCCTTTTTTTATTATTATTGGCTTAAATAAAGTAAGCTTTTTATCTTTGTAATGCCACAGTAGGTCACATTGGAGTCACATTTCCTGTTCGGTTGCGAGTCCTATGGGCTCTGATACCGGTCCCTCTTTTTGGTTATAGTATTTGGTCTCTGTGAGCAGTGCCCGAATTAGTAATATGACATAGGCGAGACAGCTATCACTTCATTTACTCATTATCCACCTTATTTTAAATATTGTAATACTGATACTTTTTTCTACCTGCGAAGCAGGGAGAAAAACAGCCATATAGTAAAAGTAAAAGCACCAGCCATAAAGTAAAAGAAGCACACTTTACATATTGTTAGGCACACAGTTAACCATTTGATTGCCCCCAGTTGTTAACCCCTCCCCAACCAGTGTTAATAGTACAGTGGAAGTGTACAGTATTAGCACTGATTACTGTATTATTCAAATTGTGCCAGATTTTGACAGGTACCTGCTCCCACTTTCACTGGGACCGCACAGGCAATCGGAAGCGGAAGTTGGAAGTTGTCCTTCCTCCCCACATTCTTCTGGGACACGTGACAGGTCCCAGAAAGACTACGGAACCATTTGCAAGGCGGAGCGCTACTCGCGCATGCCCAGTGGGCACACGGTTGTAAAGCCGCAAGCTGTCACAGCTGGTTGCCCACACTTAAGATGCTGGTAAGAAAGGATGGCCGGTGAAACCAGTTGCGGTGAGCACGCCATTGGAACGTCGGATGGTAGAGTGGTTGTTTTGTTTTGTTTTTTAAAGTCAGCAGCTACAGTTATTGCAGCTGTTGACTTTTTTCAGATCTGACTGGAGTTCCACTTTAATTATTGTCTCAGTTATTGTTAGAAACTAAAATAAACTTGGTATACAGTTTAAGATACCAGGCCTGCAGAGATTCAACTACATAAAAAAAAAAGAAAAGCAATAATTACCTCATGTCTGGTGAAAAGTCAACTTGACAAGCATAGCCTGCAACCATATGACCCTTAAAAATCTTCTTTTTATTCAGCCTGAATCTATTTTGCGCGCCAAATATTAAAATTTGGTTGTCCATTGATTGACATGCCAGCCATTTACCTGGGAATGAAGTTGAACAATTCAGTAAGACAACAAAACCTTAACCATTGTTTTGTTTAGAAGCAATACACCAATTTACATTAGACAGCAGAACTGTTCCCCAAACCAAAACAAATGGATATTACCTGTATAGATTATATAAAAGCAATTATTACATTCATAGCTAACCACAAGTATACTTTAATTGTGATATTTTAACTTTTAACATTATGAGCTCATTGCTTTAAAAAAGTGCCAATATAGGTAAAAAGGGCTGATTTGGATTACTACAGAGAAACATGTAAAATATTGAAAGTTCTCCCTTATTTTTCAGTTTTAGTGCCAAAATATTTTGAATTGAATTTCCCATCAGTTTGTTAGTAACAATGGTCAACAGGACAAATACAGTAAGTGAATATCACCAGTAGGGGCACATACATCAATAAAAAACAAAACAAACAATCTTGACAGGGGTTCTAACTCTTCTGTACTCTATTTAAAACTAAAACATTTTAGCTGTACTTACATTCCCATCGTTTCTGTTATCTCTCTAATGTGTTCAGAACAAGCTGGTATTTTGGCAGTTCTACTTTTTCTTTTTTTGACAAAGTAATAAGGTAAGTGCAGGTCAGTGTGCCAGACATAGCTTGGGGTTCACTATTGCTTCACTACCCCAGAATCTGTCCACTTTAACTTGCATTCTACTTACCATTAGGAGAAAGTGTAACAGCTGGCATTGAGTGCATACTTGGCTCTGCTATGTATTTGAAATCCACAGGGATATCCCTAAAACAAAAATGATATATCAATGAGATATATAAAAACTCTTAGTTTATCTTTTGTGACCTGACAAGAAACCCATGGGATCACCTTTGTCAATATCTGGTAAAAATATGTACACCTGCAAAAATATTGTCCGCCATGGCATTCCAAGGAAGTCACCGTAACCTGACCGTAATTAAAAATGCCTCAAATTTTGCAGTATTGCCTTATGTTACTGGAAGCAACACTGACAAAATTAAATAGCTTAAGGAACAGAATCCAACTCTGAAAATGAGCTCAAGCTGTTCAAGTGTAATTACAGATGCAAATACACACAACACAGGAAAGGCAACAAAATAAAATCTAGTTTGTGAGAATGAAGAATAAGGACCATATGCTAAAAAAAAAAAAAGCATATGGTTTGATAGGAAAATAGGTGAAATTCCCAATGATAACAAAACACTGCACTGATAAACTATGCATTCATTTGTATACCATGTATCTTTGGATTGAAAAGTGATTTTTACCATGAGACTTACCACTCCCAAACTCTCAAGCTTTTATCATCAGAAGTGCTTACAAAGCGTCTGTTCTCATCCACAAATGTAATGGTGTTGACAGCTCCCAGATGCCTGTCATACTCTTGGACAATTTCTCCTGTCCGAATATCCCACTGGAAATTTAACAGACAATCATTACATGGACATTGATTAACTGAGTCCTGCTAAAGCCAACACAAACAAAAAAATTTTTTTTTTCCTAACAGAGAATGTATTTGTAACATGCACAGTCCTTAAAATAATTAAATGAACATATTTACACTCTGCTTTAAATGTTAATTTTTAATGAATCGTTATAAAGGGTTTATCCCCATATGCTTCTAAATGGCACATGAAGTAACATAGCAGTACGCACACCCAGGCTTTTCATGGTAAAGGAGCCTTATATCTGGATTCTACCAAAAGCACAGCAAATCTGGCATCCCAGTTCCTAAAGATTAAGACAATAGGACTTTGCTGAAATTATAGTATCCCAAAGTGTTACTAAACCCAGGACCCTGCATTCACTATATCTGGTCTCCCACAGTACACAGAATATGGAAATGCAATTATTTTAGTAAATATAAACTGCTAAATACTTTTTCTGATCAGCAGTTCATAGCAGTCTTGTGACCTTTGACGCTCTGTCTGGGCAGTGCTGATTGGCCCTGTGCTGATCACATACACCCTACAAAAGAAAACTATCTAGCAATACACAATAAACTGAGCATGTGCAGAGTGACCCCCTAGATCTCTGCACTAGCAGCAAATATACTGGGGGCAATAGGAGAAGGGGAGGATCAGAGAAAATGGGATCAAACAGCCATTTCACACAATGTGTAGCATTAACCCCTTAGGTTCCACAATGAGTAGAACAAGTATACTTTACTGCATATACAAACTGTTGTGGGTTTAGGAACACTAAGTCCACACATTTTTTTCTAACTTATTTGTAACTTCAAATGTGGGGGCGAAAACATAATGACTCATTATAAATCAAATAGTGGCTACCTGCTTAGAAGGCACAATGGATATGGCACAATGGATATGCCTTATTTGCCATAAATTGTTGTATCCTGCCCACTACATGGCATACCTTTAAACTACAGTGCCTTGAAAAAGTATTCATACCCCTTGAAATTTTCCACATTTTGTCATGTTACAACCAAAAACATAAATGTATTTTGTTGGGATTTTATGTAATAGACCAACACAAAATGGCACATAAGTGTGGAGTGGAAGGAAAATTATAAATGGTTTTCAAATTTTTTTACAAATAAATATCTGAAAAGTGTGGCATGCATTTGTATTTAACCCCCTTTATTCTGATAACCCTAACTAAAATCTAGTGGAACCAATTGCCTTCAGAAGTCACCTAATTAGTAAATAGAGTCCACCTGTGGGAATTTAATCTCAGTATAAATACAGCTGTTCTGTGAAGCCCTCAGAGGTTTGTAGAGAACATTAGTAACAAACAGCATCATGAAGGCCAAGGAACACACCAGACAGGTCAGGGATAAAGTTGTAGAGAAGTTTAAAGCAGTGTTAGTTTATAAAAAAAAATCCCACGTTTTGAACATCTCACAGAGCACTGTTCAATCCATCATTCGAAAATGGAAAGAGTATGGCACAACTGCAAACCTACCAACAGGGGGGAGGAAATTTTTGAAAAAAACGACTTGTCCAGGGACTAAATCGGGGCCCCAATCTACTTATCCGTCATTACAATCTACTTGTCCTGATAAATTTTTTTTTTTTTTTTTTTTTAACTAAAACCGTATTTAAATCGGAAGTGATTTTAGGAATGTCTGGGGCCTAAAAAAAAAAAAAAAAAAAAAAAAAAAAAAAAAAAAAAAGGGCTTTATTGCGACGTAAGCATATAATATTTTTAACTCCCCCTCCCCTCCTTGCCTGTCTCCAGCACCGCAAACGGGGACTAGCAGAGAGGGGGAGGACCTTGCAGTGTAATGAGCACCAACTGGCTGCTCATCAGGAATCAGGAAAGGGAGGGGGGGAGTCAGGGCTTATACTTTATCCCTTTCACTGATAGAACCGTTTTGCATTTTTTGCACACGTTTAAAAAATCATTTTAGGCCTGAAGATTACATAAAACCCCCTAACATCATATATTTTCTGAAAGCAGAGACCCTAGAGAATAAAACACTGGTAGTTCCAATTTTTGATGTCGCCTGATTTTACCGCAAAATTTTAGTAAAAAAAATACAAGTAAGTTAATTTTAGGGGACAAAAAAAAAAAGCAATAAATTACCTTATTTTTTTTGTAAAATATAAAATATGAGGTTCCAGCGAGTAAATAGATATCCAACTTGTCAAACCTTAAATTTGTGCACGCTCGTGAAATGGCGACAAACTTCAGTACCCTATATTTTCTATAGGTCGAAACTTTTAAAGCTCCTTATAGGTCATCAGTATAGTGTACGGAGGAAGTCTGGTACTACAATTATCACTCTCATCCTGGCGTGCGTGGGGATAGGTGACATGAGTATTGCAATCGTTTCAAGCGTAGGCGCCCCAGCGTGTGCTTTTACATATGTAAGTGCTTATATGTGGGGGTCTCAATTTTCTTTGAGGGTTGGTATGGTATGTGCTTGGGTGTAACTTTCATTTTTTACAATTAAAAAAAAAAAACTTTTTTTTCTTCATCACATAGGGGACGAAGTCCCCAATGTGATGATTTTTGGTGAAAGGTTCTCTTTGAGACATTCAAGGTCTAAAGGGCCCTGCATGTCTCCCCTCTGCTCCACTGAATGTAATGTGGTGCACATCTGCACCATATTACATTAATTCCCAGAGATCTCATCGGGACCCGGAAGTGCCATCCGGGACAGCACAAGAAGGGGAGGGGAAGGGAGTGGACTCGTCCGCTCTTCTCCCTCCCCTCTAGCCGACGATGGGCAAGCGGAGTCCAGGAAACCTCAATTGTCATTCAAAGTATGAGTACGCTGATACCTGAAAATTGGCCTGGGAACAAAAGGGGTAAAAGTGCCCGGTACTGATGTGGTTAATAGCAAAAAGTGAAAAATGTTTTTTTTTTCTCAAAATTGTCAGTCTTTTTTTTTATAGCGCAAAAAATAAAAAAAGCACAGGCAATCAAATACAACTGAAAGAAAACTCAATTCGGTGCAAAAAATGGCCTGGTTAGAATGGGGGTAAATCCTCAGGAGGGGGCAAGTGGTTAATGATTGGTTTGTATGTATGTTTCTCTTTGCCACCACTAGATGTCACCATGGTGCGATCCAGGGCCTATATGCTGAGGAGTCCTTTGTCTTGGGGGAGGCACCTCCCCTTGTTGTTGTTTCTCCACCCGGTGCATCAGGGCTGGTCGATTACACACGACCGGCTCTATTCATTTCCCAGCAGTACTTGAGAGGAAGTGGAGGGTTGAGCTGTCCACTTCCCTCCTCTCTGGGCTAATCCATCTTGACCTGTTACTGGCGTTGCCAGTCTGCTGGAATTGTGCGCCGACAAGGCACCGACGTGTGACGTTATCCTGCCCTTGGGGGGGGGGGGTGGACGCTTCAGGGGGTCGCCATCACTGTGGCGCTTATATACTTATATCCATACATATGTATATGCATTCATCATTGAAAGTTTTCTGTGTTGATATGCCATTTAATTTTCCTAAACCCAGTCCACATATGACAAATGTTATTTTTTATTTTTCTCATTTATTATATGACATTGATTTGTCTGACAATTTGTATCTTTAGCCATGAGGGCATACAGTGTAGTAAATGTTTATATTGTGTTTTTATATACCCACTTTGGCTTTTCAGCCACCCCATTGGTCCCGCTGTCCTTATTACGTGTGTGTGTGTGTGTGTGTGTGTGTGTGTGTGTGTGTGTGTGTGTGTGTGTGTGTGTGTGTGTGTGTGTGTGTGTGTGTGTGTGTGTGTGTGTGTGTGTGTGTGTGTGTGTGTGTGTGTGTGTGTGTGTGTGTGTGTGTGTTTTTTGTACAGTATAATTAGTGATGCTATTGCTAATCCTTACTCATGTCCACTATATTCTGTAGAATGTTTCTTGGTCATCCTTCCCCTTCAGCTCACCCCTGAGAAAGACTGTTATGAAACGCATCAGGTCTTTTTTAGCTGAAGTTCACTCACCCTTTGCTTTCTGCTGGTCTACAGAAGAGGGTGAACACCAATTCTCAGCCTACAGCAAGTTTACAGGCATTCTCGCCATTTCCTTCTATGTATGATTTTAACATTTGTGTAATTTGTCAAATTACACAACAATTTTGTAATAAAATTATTTACATGTTTATACCATTTGTTTTGAATTGTCTTAAAAGTCCCAGTACAAATTATCAGGGAACATATCTTTGGGTACTTCGGTCTAGTGAGTGCAATATTTCTTTTTATTATGTCACTTAATTTTACGGTTTACACTTTGATGGAGGCACCCTTTCTCGCTTGCTTCCTTACTACCTCTAAACTGGAAACTTGTAAAGGTTTTTAAAGTTTTGCCTATGTAGATTTTTAGGTATCACAGTTTAACGGGCATTCGTTTCACAGACGTGCAAATTTTTCAATCTGGACATGTTTGGTATCTATTTACTCAAGGCAACATCATCTATTATATCTGATAAAAATGGGTATTTTATTGGGTTTGTGTGCACTAAATTGCATTTAATTGCATTTTTTCCCTGAAAGTTTGCATTTGATTAACTGCTGCACAAATATTGTGTGACATAAATTGCAACAACCACCATTTTATTCTCTAGGTCCTCTGCTTTCAGTAAATATACAACGCTTGGGGGGGGGGGGGTCTAAGTTTCTCTAGCAAAAAAAGAAAAAAAATGCACATTTTTACATATATGTGAAAAATTTCAAAATAGCCCTGGTAAGCAAGTGGTTATAAATGGGCCCCCTAGTAAAGTGAAAAAACAAAAATTACAGAATGTTTATTTCCATGCTGAAGCATGCTGTGCTTTTACCATCAATATTAATACTTACTTGTACTATTTTCTTATCTGACATTCCAGCCACAAACAAACTCTGTTTATCTTCATCAGGATTGAATTTGACACAGTATGGAACTTTTCGATTTGTAAACCTGGAAATACACTGTCCTACAGAACCAACAAAAGAAAATCAAAACGTTTAAATCAAATCATTGGTGAAAATATTCTGTATCTGATTACAGGGGTTCTCCATTTACTCTGACCCCTACTGTGTCAATGTGTAAACCCCCCCCCCCCCCCCCCCCACACACACACACAAAAAAAAAGACTGACAGTAGGCTAAACCGCTTGGCCCATTTCATCAAAAGCAGCACCGAAAACCCAAAAGGCAAAGCATTTCAGAGTCTGGACCTGTGTTGAGACAGAAATGGGGCAGCAACTCTGAGCCCTCCTGGAACTTCAGAACATTTGTTTTACAAACAGGAAACAATCTGTCTGGAAATACTTAACAGTGTAGCAACCATCCTAGACACAAACTGGCTTAAACTATTTTCATCATGTGGGTTTTATGAGCAGCAATTGGAATACTATTGGCTTCGCTTTACAGCTTAAATTAAATTTTTACTGAAAGCTCTAGAATCCTTGAGGAAATTAGTTCTAAAAGCTAGGAAAAGGAAAAGCTTCTGTGTTGATTACAGCAACAATTTTCAAATCAGTCAGTTCCCTATTACAGGTTTTGTAAGGCACTTTTCCTTTCCTTCAATTACTATAAATTAGACACATAGTGCTTATACACAAGATGTGTACCCACAAATTCCCCTATCAATTGGGAAACTCTTATATGTGTACTACAAGGTATCCCTATAGCCTACGGCTCATGCCTCAAGAAGGCAAAATCTGAACAAGTCACTGGACTTCTTAAAAAAAATAAAATAAAAAATCATATCTTGGAACAACCCCATAAACCTGTCCAGGATGATGCTATTCTCTTATAAAACACATGGAGTTTTTGTGCCTACTGGAACTCTAGATATAGGGAAAACTTACTTATATCCAGAAAATTAGGGGACCCTCTCAACATCTTGTACACCAGTCCAAATAGCACATGACTATTATTCTGATTTATGCCACATCTGAAACAAGGAAATGGATTCCACTTTGGATCACCTGTTTGAACCATGCTCCTATATTGTGGTTACTGCCCTCCCTTCTGTAGATACCACAGCTGTTGAACACCTGGAAACATTTGCATCTCAAGAAATTCAGGATACCATTCAATTCTTGCCCTCAGGTAAAAGTATTGGACCTAACACGTTTATAGGTAATTTCTATATGTCATTTGCCACAGATCTCAGGTCCATATTGGAAACCACTTACAATGCTGTCTCTCCTGTTTATTTGTTCAAGGGTTAAAACTTAAGGGCCCATATGCTTAGCCCCAAGTCAGTTAAGGGCCCAACCCAATGTGCCAGCTATAAGTCTCTATAAATGTAAGCTTACAGATTTATGCAAAAATCATAGCCAACAGACTCAAATCATATATATATGATGTGGGTGCAATACTTTTTGTATATGAAATTTACCCATTTAATAATAAAAAATACTGCACTGCCATTGAAGGTGGATTCCAGGTTACTCCTTTTGCCCAGTACTGGTCCATTCACACTGGATTGGATATATCCTGGAACCTGGAGATATGCAGTCGGATGATCACCTGATGTGCTGACAAGTACCAGATGATCCCCTAAGTTGCCTTCAGGATACAGATGACCAGGAGTGGTGTAATTTATTCAAATGCGCATATTATTGCACTGGTTAGTGCAATATATACTTGTTTTTTCCATCCACTGGAGTCACTGAATTCACCTATATGTGTTCTACTGGACGTTTCACTTTTATTGGACATTTTATATATTTGTGTCACCATTGCACCTTATGCGTCATATCAAGATGCTACCTACACGAATATCCTTAGCGCTCTACACTGCACATGTTTTTAATGTCTAATAATTATTATATCTTTTTACTTATTGGTTTATTAGCGCTGCATTTTACTATTATTGATGTGTATAAGGATTCGAGGTTTGACATTGATGCCAGCAGCTTATTCATCTACCTAGCGCTCGTTTAAGGATTATTATTATACAGTATTTATATGGCGCCAATTCACTTATATATATATATATACACACACATATATATACATACATACATACACATATCCATCCTCTTTCTTATACATAGTGAACAGATTGGGTTTGTACCCAGCCAGCCAGGAAGCACAAGACAACACATTTAAGATCTTGAACAATCTCAAACATGCCAAGATTCATGGGATCCCTTTCTGCCTCCTTTTCAACTACATACTCTCCACTGGAGGCTGGAAACCTCAAACAACTAAAAGCCTCAATAGAACACGCTTCACTTCTGAGAGATCTATAGTTACCCAACTTTCAGCTTTGCGACTTCTATAATTCACTGTGTAATACTGCACTTCTATCTCAACCACCCAATCCTTTTGAGAGCTTTTGTCAACTCCCTGAGGAACCCACTCACACAATTTCCCTCCTATATAATTTGCTACTTGCAGAAATATCCACATCTAAGCCCTACTTCCCAACAGAGTGGAGAAACCAATGACAATGTACCCTTATTGAATTTGACATGTTTAAATCCTCTCTACTCACACAAACCTAGTTTAGCAACAGTGGCTCAGGACAGGAGCTGGCAATGTTTAACCACAAGGTATCACTGCTCTTACAGAGGATGACTGGTTCCATCCCAGATAAATTAGAGATGTAGGGACCATTATGCGTCATGTCCGGTGGAACCGTCCACTCACCCAGACATTTTGGTCTGGCATCTTATATATATATAGCTAGGTTACCCTCAAGTTCTAAACTAATATCAACAAAAATAGCCAATTTTTCAATGCTCCTGGGACCCATTTCCCATTGTAAAAATGGACACCTGCGCCGTGGCTTTGGGGTCTGGTGCTGGATGGATTTGTGATTAAGTTTTTATTACCATCTGCAGCCTTGTTGGGAAGTTTTGCCTCACTTGTCGCAGCAATAAAGTTGTAACTGGGACAAGAGCTGATGGAAGTTCTAGACTACCACCACTTTATTAAATGAGTTCTATTGCTTAGGTTCCTTTTTTTGAAAAGATTTTGTCACTTCTTGTCCTGTGGCAAAACTGTCATTTAGAAAGGAAATGTGGAAAAAATCTCCCATATAGGGACAAAACACAGACCTTCTAATCAATACCAACTTACAAACTGAAAAAGCAAAAACATACTTTGGCTGTATTTATCACTTTAGCCAATCTGAACTAAGCTGATGATATAGCAATCTACAGTTTCTTTTAAAAATAGTAATGTATATAGTACCTGTTTCTGAGTCCCACAACTTGAGATAGCGATCATAGGCTGCACTCAGGAACTGTGTTCCGCCATTGTTGAAACATATGTCCCGAACGGCTTTACTGTGGCCTGCAAAATAGAAAGCAGGAAAGATGCCTGTCATATCCAGAACCATAGACAAATAGGCATATACAAGATGTACAGATGTGTTGCACCATCGCATAAATCCTGTATAATAATTCGGGGTCTAAGTTAAATTAAAGATATCATCTTGCACTACTGAAAAAAAATAAAAAAATAGGATTTTTGTACTCTGTAAAATCCTATTCTTGAAGTCCATTGAGGGACACAGGAATTCTTAGAATTAATAGACTGTCAAGCTGAACTGCTACCTGCAAGAGAAATGGATACGGACAACAAAAAAGCCATTGGTCAGCACAGGCTGAAAAAGCCTCCCTCTGATGTCATCGCGCTGTCGGCCATCTTGGAAACAGTATATGTGAATGCTTTTAATTGTTCTACAGCTTGTAAGTAGGATTCCATTTGCACAAATAAAGAAGTTTTTGATAAGTATTGCACTATGAGGGGCATGTTTTTTCTTTCATGATCTTGTTTGGCACTACATGTCGAGTTGGAGGTTGGAAAGATCCATGTTCTGGGCATGACATGGAAAACCTGCTAGTGCTCTACATTATAATGCTGGTTGGGACCCCCTGTAATTAGGGGGTCTCCATTTCTGGTAAGTCTCCATTCGAATATTTGGTGGTGGTATGCACTTTGGTGACCATTTGAAGCCAGTTTATCCACATTTGTACCTCCTCTCATTGTCTAACCCAAATGTATGAGCTGATCCTAGTCTTTCCAACTCTGCCCTCCTGCTCTCGTTGTCTCTTGTAGCCCTTCTTTGGCGTGAGATGTTTGCCCTGCTAGCCATGTGTCTCTGCTATGCATTCCTAATAGATTAATTGGCAATACCCCCACCCAACTCAGTATAAATGTAGGCCTTCCCTAGGGGAGGCACAGCCAAAGGTAGCATTGGCAACTATCATCTTGGCTAAAGTATTCATTTTGGATTAAGTATTGAGCATTGCAGTTCGGCTCTGCACTTCAGCGAATGCACAAAGCGAGAAGCCACAGCAGACAACTTAAAATACTAAACAGACTACAGGTGACCTGTTTCCCCATCCAGCTCTTTTAGCTCTTATCCAGTCTACTTCTTCATCTAACCACTCTGTAACATGCACTACCTACTCCTCTACCTACTCCACAGTTGTATCCTCTCTTTCCTTCACCCCTCTTCTCCACCCCACAACTTATATACAGTATCTCACAGAAGTGAGTGCACTCCTCACATTTTTGTAAATATTTTATTATATCTTTTCATGTGACAACACTGAAGAAATAAAGTAGTGAGTGTACAGCTTGTACAACAGTGTAAATTTGCTGTCCCCTCAAAATAAATCAACACACAGCCATTAATGTCTAAACCACTGGCAAAAAAAGTGAGTACTCAGTGGTGATTAAATACCACCAAAAGAAAGCTCTATTTGTGTGAAAAAAAATGATAACATTTTTTTATGGGTACAGTGTTGCATGACTGCACAATTGTCATTAAAAGTGTGACAACACTAAAAGCTGAAAATTGGCCTTGGCAGGAAGGGGGTAAAAGTGCCTGGTATTGAAGTGGTTAAAAAACATTTCAGCTTTTAGAACCACTTTTACCATACTAATATTCCAAAAAATGTAGGACAAGTTATTAAACAAAATAGGACTTTCAATGTATCCAATATACAGTGGGTATAAAAAAGAATCACCCCCCTTTTAAAGGAAAAAAAAAATCAAATTTTGTTGCTTTGCAGCCTGAAATGAAGACACACAGTTGTTTTAATTTATCAGCTGTATTTAGTGCAAATTAGAACATCCAAGTGAAAGATATAACACCAACATGTCAGAAAAAGAAAATTCAAAAACAGAATCACTGAGTTGGAAAAATTATTAATATTCTGTTCTATTTAAAGATGTGAACCTACAGCACAAGCCTGTTGGAGATTATGAAAGAAAAAAAAATTGTAAGCATGCATACCATACCTATAAAAGTCCGTAAACATCTTCTTTCATTGTACACTTCCCAGAGCTGTGACAAAATTAAGAAAAGTGATCACAAATGTATCCATCTTTCATATAACAGTAGCAAGAAGAAAACTGAAAATTAAATCATAGTTAGGACATTTGACTTTGCTGTTTATTCTTTGCAGTCATAAAGATTCTAACTGGTACATGTGTCACATATATGCTTGATTTCTCTGGGGAAACAGATAATAGGTTTTAATAAAATGAATGTCATAGATGTCTACATAAAACAAGTAATAGCATGCATAGATACAATGTGTGCAGATAGCTTGTGGCATTCCACTCCTTGTCCACATCCTCTTACCAGAAGATATGTAGAAAGCCCTGCCATCCTCAGGGTAAAAACAGGTTTCTTTAGGATGGGAGGTGAAATAAATATGTCTGAGCACCAATGCCTGAAGGACAGTGTACATCTTGATCTTGTAGACAAGTACTTAACTTCATGGGTGGAAAAAAGGAGTTATACATTTAACAGAAAAAAAGCACCAATTTGTCTTGCATTCAGGTTTTAGAGTGATGTAATTTTTGTGCATAGTTATTATTAGCAGCTAGGGTAACTGTAGCTAGAGAATGTGCAGTATGTTCAAATATAAATTAAAAATAACAGTCTTGAATGTACTGAAGATTGAATGCATTTCCAAAGGCTGTCATTGAAATTATTTGACATATATCTTCATGGAAACTTTCTTTAATCCACGTACAACCAGAATTTGGCATAAATTGAGAGTAATATCACTCTGAACCATTTAGGTTCAATTCTCTGCATGTTTTCAGATACTGGGAGGGGGTGTGTTGACGCAAAAGGGAGAGGAACAGAGTGTACATCACCATCAGTCATTCATAGTACCAAGAAAAGACTACAAGCAAGAAAGAGACACAAGGTAGCTATGGGAGTACAGATTCTGAACAGTGGTGCCACTCTCTTGCTGCACATTGTGTGTGTTTTTAGGAGGCAATGAGCAGCAAAACAGTTCACAACATATTTTTAGGTTTTTGGCTAAGTTTTGATTCCAAGGAAACCTCTTTTGAGAGAATGCCGATTTCTACTTTCATAAAGAAAATAGTTGCAGTGATTAAAGCGGTTCTAAAGGCTCTTTTCTTTCTTAAAATAATAAACAGGTCAGGGGCGGACTGACAACTCATGGGGCCCCCGGGCAATAGGGGATCATGGGGCCCCTGTGTCCTTGCCCAAACTCAAAAAAGCCTTTGAAAAAAATACCAGAAGCATCTCTTAGGGCCCCCTACTGACCCCAGGCCCTCGAGCAGTGCCCGAGTTTCCAAATGGTCAGTCTGCCCCTGAAACAGGTTATACTTACCTACTCAGCGGTCCCTAACCTCTTCTTCTGGAGTCCCCTGCTGGTGCTCTCTGCTCCTCTTCTTCTCTGGAGGAACAAGTAGTGGGATATGTTTTTCCTTAATGCAGAGAATGCATTAGGGTAAAAAAAAAAAAAAGTCTTGACTATAGAAACACTTTAAGTGGCTTCCAGTCACTGACCTGCACCAAATAAGCGGATCAGTTGTCCTACCTTTATTTTTGCAATCTTGACTGTAATCAACATGAAGCATTGAAGCCACTGTGGCAACCATACAAGAAACATTTCAAAAGCAGATTTAATCAGTGACAGCTTATATACTGTACTTCTGCCAGTATAAGTTTCTTTTAATTGGTCAGTAACCAACAATTACATTTTAGCTTAGGCAGCCTAGTTGACTTGAGTCACTTGCTGACTTCTTATATGTTTTAGGGACACAAATTGAAGGAGCTCCCTACCACTGTTTATAGCATGGTTTCTGGCCAATTTAGAGAATTAGTGCCGGTTCACATATATGCGGATTGGATGCGGTTTGAACTGCATCCAATCCACATGACATGTGAAAAAACATTGCTTCCTATGGTGCCTGTTCAAATATGTCTGGTGCACTGGCAGTGCAGATTAAGTGCAGTTTGAAAAAAAGTCATGTTCGATTTCTGAGCAGTGCGGTCCGGTTCAGGCGCGGATTACAGGCTATTGAATTCTAAGGGAACCGTCTCTAAACTGCATATCTGTGAACAGGATAAAATCCTGAGCTAATCCTGTGCTGGACCTGATCTAAACCCAACATGAAACGGTGAACAACTACTGTATCAATTAGCCGTAAAACCTGAGCTTCAATCCGCACCGCACAATCACCTCTTACAGTTTCAAAGTTCTCCCACTGCACTTGTTACAAAATAAAAGATCAAACCTCCAACAAGAGCAGCAAGACTTCCTCATAAAGACGCAGATTGGGGAGCTAAGAGCAAAGAGCTTGGGAGAAATCCTGCTGCTCTGCAGAAACATCTAGACAATTTCAAGGTCTTTAGTATGCTGCTATACAAGGCCTCAACATCAAATAGCAAGAAGTCAAGTGTTTGTAGGTATATGTAAGCTTTCCTTTGTCAGTTACAAAATATATCCTTTACATATGAAAGCAGCCTGGTCATATTTGGTCGAAAATGAACATTAATCAATTTACTAGGGGGTTCCCAATGAGGCTGCCCACCCCAGAGAAAACAGGCCTCATGGGAGAGCAGTTCAAATTAATATGAGCTATTAATTAATTTAATTAATTAGGTACTATTAGTACCTGCTTACGTTCGAATGAGTTTTATTTACAATTCACGTCAAAATTTCATTCTTTGATGATCAGATGTTTGTAATAGAAAGATGCCACTTTGGCCTCAAAACTCCATCATAAACCTACTGCTCGGAATACTACACTCACTGGCTACTTTATTAGGTAAACATTGCTAGTGCCATGAAAACATCCCCCACACCATTACACCACCACCAACCTGAACTGTTTATACAAGGCAGGATGGATCCATGCTTTCATGTTTACCCCAAATTCTGACCCTACCATCTGAATGTCGCAGCAACCAGTCTGCATGATCTCCTCTGACATCAATAAGGCATTTTCTTCCACACAACTGCAATTCACTGGATATTTTCTCTTTTTTGGACCATTCTCTGTAAACCCTAGAGATGGTTGTGCGTTAAAATCCCAGTAGATCAGCAGTTTCTGAAATACTCAAACCAGCCCATCTGGCACTAACAACCAGGCCACGTTTGAAGTCACGTAAATCCCCTTTGTTCCCCATTCTGATGCTCGATTTGAACTTCGGCAAGTTGTCTTCACCACGTGTAAATGTCCAAATACATTGAGTTGCTGCCATGTGATTGGCTGATTAGCAATTTGTGTTACTAAGCAATTGAACCTGTGTAGCTAATAAAGTGGTCAGTGAGTGTATTTTACATGCCAGCAGTACACACCCAGTCCTCCTGATAAAAAGCATCCCCTATAGCCAATATTGTCATTTCAGATGCAACTGTTTCATTTTCAAAAATAAGCAGTAGCAAAATTACCTTTCGGAAAGGGTTATAGCAAGAAAGCATATAAAAAAGGGCCAAACTAAAGACATAAAAGTTCTAACATATTATGCCAACATAAACAAAATTAAGGGAAGACTTTGTAAATATCAGCATCTAGTGCTAGAGTAATGCAATTTACCCCGAAGATTTTATTCAGGCAGGCAACCTCTATTAATGATAAACTAGGTAAAGCGCTCAAAAGCGGAAGCTCCTCTTATTTGCCCCCCCCCCCTGCATATTTGGCACCTTTTAGGGGAGAGGGGGGAGGGGATACCTGCTTTTGACAGATACCCGCTCCTTGCTCCCACTTCAGGCTCACTTCGCCGCGGTGAAGAGAGAAAGAGGTTCGGCCCCCTTCCTCCCTCCTGCAGTCTCCTGGGAACTTTCACATGTCCCAGAAAACTGCAGCACCAATTAGGAGGCGCAGCGTGACTCGCGCATGAGCAGTGGGCACCAGGCTGTGAAGCCACAAGCTGTCTCTGGGACAGGTAAGTGTGAGTTTATTAAAAGTAAGCAGCTACATTTTTTGTTGCTGCTGACTTTTAATAAACAAAAAAAAACGTCTGGAACTCATTTTAACCTCCCTAGCGGTCTGATTAGGTCCATATTTCTGTGCTCAAAGCAGTACATTTTTTGTGCATGGAAATATGTTTTTTTTTTTTTATTGTAGGCCTGTAATTTTTAGGAATAACTCACTGAAATCTGTCCGAACAAGAGTCTAGTAAACATCCCGGGTATGTTAAAATTTGAAACACGAAATCATAAATTATAATATAATAATCATAAAAAATAACATAATAATACATTTTATTCAATAATATAATCAAACCAAAAACACTGAAATTTGAAATATAGCGCCAAGTTCGCACATCGCTGAGCAAAGTCACAGAATCGTTTTCCCTGTCTGATGACGAACTTCCCCACAAATCATTATCACTCAATTCTGCAAGTAGTTCTAATTTACGATCGCTGTTCTCTAGCTGGTCTAAAACCGCTTTTGACCTAAAGGGACGCTTTTTGGACGCCATGGACATTTCACAGTTTCCAGACAGAAAGAACGGTAAAAATGCAGGCAGAGCACAGGACAAAGCACTAGGGACAAAATGCATGTGAAATGGTTTGATACAGTAATGTTATGCTGTGTGATTTTAGTGTATTTAGTGAATGTCACTTTTTGTCATTTTCAAACTTCCCGCCAGTTCCGTCCCCGTACGTCCCAACGTTTGCAGGGGACGGAACCCAGATGACAGATGCCGGCATCCGCCGGAGGACATTACAGGGGACACTGCAGGAGGGACATCGCAGGAGCACAGGACAAGGTAAGTGATCGAGGGATCCCGGAGCAGCGCCGCATGGCAAGCCCGAGTGTAGCTCGGGTTTACCGCTTGTGGTACTGAAACTTTACCCTGAACTACACTCAGGAATACCGCCATGGAGGTTAAAAGGCACTATACAGGGGATGAAAGAAGAAACCAATGTGTCAATATGGGAACCCACAAATGTGATTCCTGTAGTTATTGCAATATATTTTTTTTTGGGGGGGGGTATGGAAGGGTACAGAGGGGAACAATTCTGCCGAAAGGAAACCTGATTGTCCTCAAACACTATGTAG